ACACAGAAGCACAGCAGCACTCGTTAGGACTGCGCTGCTTATCGGAGGGGAGTTTGATGCTGCTTTTGAACAAAGAAAGCGAAAATATGTACACACTTGTATACAAAGAAGTAGTTGACAGTAGTGCAAGCTAGAGATGGGTGCGTGTTGGTAATTGTCTAATACGACACGTTCAAAAATCAAAGCGGAGCGTCGTGCGTGCTCGTGACACGACACGCGCCCAACTCTAGACAATTGTATATTTATACATGTATGCATATTTACAGTTAACGTTATTCTAGTGCTTACCCCAACATTCACCGTTGCGCTTAAATGCTGCGCGATGCGATTGAGAAATTTCCTGAAGGAAGAGCGACGCATCACACGTGCTTGTTGCCCGCTCGCACGTTTGTTGTTGTTGTTGCCGCTGCTGCTGTTGTTGTCGTTATTGGTGACTGCAATGGTCGCCGCCCCATTTGGCTTGTCCTTGCCGATGGGCGCGTCAGAGGCCGCCTCGTAGCTGCTGAGCGATACAATGCTGCCGCTGCGTCCGCGACCGCCGCTCACACAGGACGAAATTGCCGTGCTGCTGGCGCTGCCGACGTTAACGCTGCTGCCATCGGCAGCTGTGCCGGCTGTGGCAGCGATCGTCTTGAATTTGCGCGACCAGCGAAACGGATTGCGTGGCATGGAGAAGGCGCGTCGTATCTTTTTGGCGGCATTTGTGGCCATCGTGGAAGCCTGGGCGGCAGGAATGATTAGCACTTGCGTCGGCGCTGCGGTATGTGTGGGCAGCGTTTGTGACTTTAGCTCCGTTGTTGTTTGCGTTGGTGTTGTTGCGCTTGCTGCTGCCTCTGCCTCTGCTTCTGCTGCTCTTGCTGCTGTTGTTGTTGTTGTGGCTGTAGCGTTGGCGTTGGCGTTGCTGTGGGTGGCGGCCGCTTCTGCCGCTGGCGCTGCGGCGGCGGCGGCAGCGTCGTCGTTTTGTTGCACTTTCGTTCCCATTCTCGTTTTTCCACAATTCGTCACATAAATTAATTGCCCTGTTGGTTATTTATTGAATCACGTTTGCGGCTATAAGAAATTGACTTTTAGCATTAGATTTCACTTTTTTTTTAGCGCACTTTATTTCCCGATATTTTTTCGTTGGCTTCGCTTGCTTGTCTGCACTGCGTTCTGTACAAACAATACGCGCGCGTTTGCAATAAACTAAACTGTAAGCGCTAGCCGAATATTTTCCCTGTATATACCGCTTATTTCTGAGCTTTGATTGAATTTTTTCGCAGAAAAATGAAGAAGTGTGCTATCCGCGTCCAACCCGTTCCAATGTTTTTTCCCGAATATAAATGTTAGTGTGAATGCGATGTTAAGCTAGTGTTAAATTGCTGTTTCCCTCAAAGGGCACTGTTAACTATCGTTGGCAGCCGTCTATCGGTTCTTTTTCAGTGCGACCATGAACATATTCGATATGCAACCCAGCACATGCTATGGTCACACTTTGACATTGAAAAAGGTGTGGCCGCTTATAGTGCTGCCATATTGCTCGCAGCAGTGGCAACGCAAGCTGCTTGACGCGCGAAAGCTAAGTGCTATGAATCGCTATGAATAATGTACTAAAATTTTGAGAAGTCTTACGTTATGTCTGGCGGGTCACGTAGTACTGGCAAGTACGTTGTTACGTTATGTTTTTTTTTATAAAGAGCGTCGAATGCACATAAATACAACTTATTTGTATGTATTCTAAAATATGTGTTTATATGCTTGCATTTATGTGTATATATATGTTTTTCTAATGGTATACATATTGTTTGCAAAAGATACTCTCTTAAAACGTTATCTTTGACCGACCATTAACCCTCGTCGTTCAAGCAATGCAATTTACGGTTATTACAGCCGCAGCTCAGCTGCAGTAAATGAAAACTTTTTAGTATTCATGGTTTTAGCATTAACGACTTCAATTATGGCAGCATTTTATTTCATTTTACTTTATTAGTTCTTAGCAGCGGCGGCGACGTCGACAGCGACGCAGCAGTAGCAACAGCGCCAGCGGCAGCACAGGGCGTGTCTGCTGACAAAATGGAGCAATGGCTCCAAAAGCCCAAACAGCCAATCAGCGCGCAGCGCGTGTGAGTCGGCGCAGCACGGAGAGCGATAGAGAGAGAGTGAGAGTGCTAGTGTGTGTGTGTGAGAGCGCATTGAGTAAGCTCTCGCGTATGTAAACAGCTTTTTACCGCTGCTGCATAAAAATGGCCGTCGACTTTGCCAGACCCGCTGCAAATATGCTCTAAAACTGCCAATTATAGGCACTTATTCATTGCGGTATATGATGCGTACAGCGATGATGCTGTAACCGTTAGCTGCCGGCTGCCGTTGCCATTACAGGTGTGTGTGGCGTTTAATCAAAAAGAGGTGGCAGCCCCCCCCCGTAACAGACAACTGACGAGCTGAACAGCAATTAAACGCCTCGACTTGACTTTATTGCAAGTTTATCGTGCGGAATGTGTCTAAACGCCGACGTCGACGTCGACCCTTTTGCCCCTGTCTGTTAATTGTTTTGCTTAGGGGTTGTTGTTGCTGCTCTGACATTAATTGGTTGTGTTCGAGCCAATTTGGCGTTGAAATCGGTTAAAAGGCGCAAATTGATTGCCCTGCGGTTTTAATCGATGCGCATTCATTCCAAATCACGCGCATTTATCAACCACCCACGCTCCCCCCCTCCCCTGTTGATGCTGCTGCAGCCACATCTGCACAGTTTATAATTGCCGGCAATTGCAATTGCCGCCGCAGCGCAATTAACGTCAATTTCACAAAATGGTTGCCATACATCGGTGCCATATATCATACATTCATACATATATGTATGCCCCTCTTGTTATATAAGCGTGTTTATTGCGAAACATTTGCAAGATGTTTGTTTGTTTGTTTTTTGTTAAACGTTTTACCTGCCGGCATACGCGGAAATCGGTTTCGCTGTTTTTTAGCCAAACGGATTGGCAAGAGGTAAGCGAAAAGGATATGAAAAGGATATGAGAGTGTTTGCTGCGCTTTCCACGAAAATCCCGGCTAGGGTTATGAAATTTTACGCAAGCTGCCGTCGCTCAAGGACCTGGCGACAGACAAAAGGGGTGCTCAAAGGATTTAGCGTGAATCGTAAAGGCAGTTTTTTTTTTCTCTCTTTTTTTTAGGCAATTTTTTCACTTACATATTTCCAAGGCACGGCAGGAGCAGCACATGATAATTGCACGCAATCAACGCATAATCCTCGCATAATCTGCGCAATTTACCAAAAAAAAAAGTGTCAAGAAAAAAAACGAAGTTCTGCCTAAAAAACTGACTTTTTGGCCTTGAGCGGAAATCGAGTAGTTGCAGTTGGCCAACAGGTATGTTGCGGGCACGCCCCCGGCCTAAGATCCGCCCCTCAATATAGGCGCAGCAAATCGCCGAATTTAATTGCCAGAAATTCTCAAAACAAACGAAAATAAACAAATAAACATATCAACTGCAGCCGGAGCTTGCGATTTGCTGCTGCGCCCGCGGATTTGGGAGTTTCGAGTCTTTAGCCAGATTGACTTCTGCGGATCATCTGGAGTAATCGGAGTTAATCCCGTTAGTCGTAGTAGCTGGCAGGCGCAACCCGTTCCCGGATTAGGCGCTGTTTTAGTCCAGAAGTCAGCGCAAATGCGAAAGGATTAAAATCGATTTTGTGTACATGTTCAAGCGGGGCGTGGCCATCGCTGCCTCCGTCGCTGTCGGTGCAGGTCAGTGGAATCCGTGTCGTCGGTGGTTTTTGCTGGCTGCCGGGCAACGCCCATGGCAGACGCCCTAATCCGTTTACGCCTCGAAATTAATGCAAACATTTAGAAGGATTATCAGCTACGGCCGATGCCATAAAAAGGGGTGACATCTTGGTAGAGCACAGGCTGCCCGTCCGCGGTAAGGGTATGCAAATTCGCTGAAACGGGAGACGAGTTTTGGGACCGAGCTGGTGCCATAAAAGCATGATAGGATTGTTAATTCGCAGCTACTTGTCGTTCATTCTGTGCGCATTGTCTGCGCGCGGATTTGCCACTTGGCTGCGGCCAACTGTCTGTATAGAGGGTATATGTAGGGTATATATAAAGGGTATACGGGTCGGCTTAGGCGTATCAAAAGCAATGGCACAATTATGCGTTTCGTGGAAGTGATTAGAGGCAGCGATTAGAGCCAAAGAGTTGAAAATATTTGTGGATTAGAGTTTGACTTTGGCCAGGCCAAAGATCGCACACACACACACTCGCACACACTCGCACACACACACACATGCAGGCACTTGGCATTGTCAAGGGCGAGCGGCAACAGGAAATGCAGGACCTGCAGGAACGAACTTCCGCAGCGCTCAAGTGGATGCCGCTGGCTACTTAAAACTCAATTAGCAGAGCGGCGAAAAGGAGGAGCTTGTGGCGCCACAAGGGCCACCAAGAGCAGCCGCAACAAGCCGCAAACAGCATAAAAGATACAATTTACAACGTTCCGATTCGGGCTGCATAATGTACACTGCAAAAAAATCAGGTGTACCTCAATTGAATTCTACACAAATGAAAAGACAACTATAAATTGGGTTCGTTTTGCAGTTTTTTAAAAATATATTTTAAATTAATTTTCAATCATTTTTTAAGTTTTAATTTAATTTAATAAATTTTATTTTTTATATATGTACACTGTAAAAAAATCAGGTGTGCTTCAATTTAAAGCCAAATCTAAGTTCGGTTCGTTTTGCAGATTTTTTTAAAATATATTTTAAATTAATTTTCAATAATTTTTTAAATTTTAATTAATTTTTTTTTATATATGTACACTGTCAAAAATCAGGTGTGGACATATATAAATTGGGTTCGCTTTACAGTTTTTTAAAAATATATTTTGAATTAATTTTCAATAATTTTTTTAATTTTAATTTAATGTTAATTTAATTTTTTATATATACAACTGCCCGTTCTGCTGAAAATAAGTCAAGTCGTGCTTATTTTCATAAAGAAATTATGGGCTATATTTTATTCAGTTTAATATTTAATATATATAATAAAATAAGTATTTTAAATCAAACGTCAATTTAGTTAAATCTTCTTTTAAGCAAAGTCGTGCACTTTTTGTTGCAGTGTAGCTGAAATATATGGAGCATTAAGTGTTTGCTGTGGCCATGTCGAAGTCATCAAAAAACTGTGAAGTGAACAGGCAATTATGTTGTCGTCGTCGCTTTGATCTGCGCCCACTTACAACGCATCTGCACGGACACAGACAAAGATGCAGTCAAAGATACAGATGCAGTTACGGATACAGATACAGATACAGATGCTGAGCGATAGATACAGATACAGCTAAGGCTGTGCGTCTGCAGCTCGAGTTGATTTCCTTGTTTAAGCATTTTTTAATTGTATGCTAATTGATTGCATTGTCACAAAAACGTTGCGCATCCATGAGATACTCCGAGATACTCAGAGATACTTGTACTATATTTGGCTCGATTCCGGAACCATATTTTGATGGCATTTCAAATGCCAGCTGCTGGGCTGTCGAGGGGGGAGTGCATTAAAAAAATAAACACACCAAATTTATAGCTGCAGATACATGAGCAGAGATACAGATACAGATACAGATGCAGCTACAGATACAGATACAGATACAGATACAGCTACAGATACGGTTGGAGATTAGTGGGAAGCGCTTAGCGTTTTATTGACAGCATTTGCTGGCCATAAACTGCTTAATCCGGCCAGCCAAATTCTGGCTAAGATGTCGCGATTTTTAGCATCCTCAAAAAAGGACACAGGCCGCGAAGAAGAAGAGGACAGGCAGCCGCAACGACGGCAGACCGAAATTGGCTGTGAAAAAAAAATGTGCATAAAGAAGAGTAGCAGCAGCAACAACAACAAAAGGTCGAAGGTCACGGCTGCCGTAGCTGTTCACGTAACAGACAACACACACTCACACACACACACAGACACGCACATGCACATGCACACCCTGGGCCTTGTTTGTGCTGGGGCGTGACCGCTGCCTCAATTAATCTGCGTAATTTGCATGTGGCTGCAACTCGGGAATGTAGCTGCAACTGCAACTGCGGCAACAGTTCAAAAAAGCTGCATCGAATCGCTGCGAACTTCGCGCGAAATCGCGTCGGCCAAAAACTATTTGAAGTTGAGATTTTTACGTTTTGCATCCTGCGGTTTTCCACGTACGCAACTATCAGGCGTTTTTTCTTTCTTTCTCAGCAAACAACTCTTTGAACTGTGCGAGATTTGCGTAGGAAAAATCGAACTATTACGTGCTGTAAGGAAATTCGAGAAAATGTTGAGAAAAATTTACAAACATTTTTTAAAAATATATGAAAAAGTAACATAAGCAAAGTATCTAAACTATCTATAGACTTTAAAGATATTTGAATGTATATGTTAAAGGGATATGTTATGTAAACGTTATGTAAAGTTTATGTTAATATTATGTAAGTTTTATACTTGGCATGTTATGTAAATTATATGTTAATATTATGTAAAGTTTATGCTTGGCATTTAAATCAAAGTGTGAACACATGAAAACATGTCTCTAATTAGACCAAAAAGCTAGATTATTCAAATATCTAATACTATCTCGAGATATATCTTTATTAAACATTTTTCAAATACTTTAGATGATAGTCCAATCTTGAATAGATTTGCCATTTAGTATTCGTGAGAATCGTTGAAAATAAATGGAATCAAAAATTGTTGAATGAAAAATTGTTATGAATTGTCGCAAACATTGTAATGTTAGCTTTTTAAATTTTGGTCATTTGAAAATTTGATGAAAATTTCGAATTTATTTCCTTTAAAACCAATCGGAAGACTTGATCCATGCATATATGTATATCAGTCGCAAGTCGGGCATAATTTATAAGATTTACAATCTATTAAAAACTTTAAATAAAGTCCAATCTGAAGGATAATAAACTAAATAGCGTCTAATCTGGACGAGGCACGCCTGACATGTCTTATAAATAATTATAACTATTTATAATATATATACAATTATATATAATATAATAATATTTAATATAATAAATTAGGTCGCAAACGGACTTAATTTTAAAAATTTGATGTCTTTTCCAGATTGGACTTAATTCTTAGTTCAAAAAAATCTTCCAGATTGGACTTTAGAGACTTTTAAAGAGACAATAAATTGTATAAAAAAGATGTCCGCTTTTCGACTAGCTAATGGACAATATATAAAGTACAATCTGTGGAACTAGTCTAATATATAAGTTTAATTAATATTATTTTTTAAAAATATATTTTCTATTTCTTTTCTATATTCTAGATATTCTCAAAAAAAAAAAAACCCGCATCTTGCCGCCTTTCAGCCTCGCTCAAATCGAACTTCCCATTTAATTATATTTTACTTTGATTTTTGCAACCTTGTGAATAATCGCTTTAGCACACTTTGCAGCTCTTCAGTTTGCCTTTTGGTGACTTTTGGCCCTTTGCATTGTTTCGAGCGTCTTAGTTTTTTAGGCCCAATAATAAAAAAATCAAGCCCGCCAACGTTATTCGGATCGTTTTTATGATCAGCTCAGATCAGAGACAATTCACATATATTTCGAAAGTCAGTTCTTAAAAAATATTTCGCGCACCGCAGCGAGTCAATTTCCAAGGTCGCGTCCGGGCCTCGGCTCGTTCCCTTGTTCCGCTTCCGAATTCCGCGAAAATTATAAAAAAAAAAACTAGCAACGCCTGAAAACCTAAAAATCTGAAACTAGAACTAGAATTCCAATGCAGTTTTTTTATGCCGCCTAATTTTTATGGCCTAAAAAACAGAACCAACAAACCGAAACCGAATATAATCGCTGCCATTTGTTTGCCCATAAAAGAGCGAGACGCGACGCGCTAGGTAAAAAGCCAAAAAAAAAAAAAACAAAAAAAAACTAAAAACAAAATAGAAGAAAATAGAAAGAAAAAGGACAGCGCACAGGATCGGGCCGAGTCGCAGTCGCGGCTCGTTGTGAGAAATTCATAAAAACTGTTTTCATTTTTTAGAATCAGTGCGCGAATCGACGGCGACGGCGACGGCGACTGCGACGGCGACGGCGACTGCGGCCCACTGCGGCTTTACGATGGCCATTAACGCTCCCTAAAAAAATAACGCGAAAAAAACGAGCGCTGTAAATCATAAAGTCAAGCAAAAAGTCGACAACAAACCAAAGACAGAGCAGGGCAGAGCTGGGCAGAGCTGGGCGGGATGTATAGAGACTGCCTTGGAGGGCTTTTCCTGGCTGACTTCTTCTTCTTCTGCTGCTGCTGCTGCTGCTGCTTTTGGGCAAAGTCAAACCGCAATAAAGTTGACACGTTCAAATGCGCAGGATCCGTTAAGCATGGGTCCAGGAGAAGAAAAAAAAAGGAGAAGGAGAAAAAAAAAGCCATGTATTCCGGTTCGCAGGACATGCGCATTGCCCGGCAGCAGCAGTCCGGCGTAGCTTGTGCCCGGCACGTACACGTACACGTCTGCGTCTACACTCGCCACACCCGTGATTGCCGCAATCATTCTAGTTTCATTAGCTCAGCTGCAGATTTATTGTGTTCCCTCTCGCGTCGCGCTTGACCCAAGCTCTTCGGACAGCCGCAGCATCTATCAACAGCAATTGATTTTTATTTCGCCTTATTCCACGTCGACTGGTCAGATTTTTCAGGGCAATTTTGTTGTTCGTTTTGTGTGTGTGTTTCCATTGCAATTACCCGGAGCTTATCACGCAGCCTTAATGCCCCGCAACCCCCCATTCCCATCCCCATCCCAATTCCAGAGCCAACCCCTGGCTTTGCCAATTGCACCGCAGCGAATCGCATATGGAAATGCAAAATTTGCTGACATCATTCGAATTCCCTTCTACCCCCCCCCCCCTCCCTCATTTCCTTGCTTGTTGTTTTGGCCCCGTTTTGAATTGTTGCGATTATCAGTTGTTAATATCCATGAAAATGATGAGACCAGCAGAAAAATGCTGGGACGCGACGTTAGATAAGCACGGCGCATGGCCATGTTAATGGACAGCGTGCAAATTGGCCAACTGCCAAAACAGTAGAACACCCCCTCTCCCACCACCCCCCTCTCTCCTCAGCCCCTCCCCCTCACAGCATAGCCAATGCGCCGGATCCGTTCCGTTTCGCTGCGATCGGTTGCGATTCGACATATTATAATAAGTTATGTCTGTGGACATGTTTTATGCGTGTTTCACAAACGACTGACTAATTGACTGGCTGATTGACTGATTGACTGCTTGACTGATTGAATGATTGACTGGGCGCTGTGTATGCTTTAAATGTGTGAAATTATTTGTGCGACGGCATTATCATTTTACAAAGATGTTTATTCATGCCTTCGAGCTAGACGTGCGTGTGTGTGTGAGGTGTGTGTGAAGTGTGTGTGTGTGTGTGTGATGTGTGTGTCTGTGTGTGTATGAGGAAACCGCAAGTGGTTGCAAAAGCCGCCCAAAAAACAACCGAAAACAATAGGAAACTTAATTGTTGTCTTCACAAAACAACTAAACATGCTTTTAAGTACACTATGCTACAAGTTTAAGGAAACCAAATTTGTATTATTATATTGAATTACTAATTTAATATATTATTTGTTTGGCCTGAATCGTAGCTTCTGGTATTCATATGCTTTTGCGAAAGCCTTTTGAAAGCCAAAGAAAATGCTTTCATTTAAATAAAAGATTTAAATATTTATTTCTATATTTCTTATATACATTTTTCTCGCAGAGAGTTCTTTTATTTTCATAGATCTAAGCTATATTTTAAAATTAAGATAGATTTATATATTCTGGAGATGTATATTAATTTTTTGTTATCTGTCTGTGCCTTAGGCTTACCTCACTTAAAACTAAGTTAATAATCTACCTTCTAAAGAAACTCTATTCAAAGTCTTATAGATTTTTCAACCAATCAGTTATAGATATATGAAAAATTGCGAAAGAAAACTCTTCAAGAATATTATTTTTATTCTTTTTAATGATCTTTTATGCACATCTATCCAGTTTTAGATATCTGAAAAATCTCCAAAGAAAATTCTCTAAGAATATTATATATATATTCTTATAAATGATATTATATTTATCTATCTATCTAGCTTCCCATAGCTAGCTCATATCATAGGCCAGATATTTTAGAGTAGAGTCCTACTTGATCTGCTTTCCATTATTTTAAACTAACTACTTTTTATACTCATGCGTATTTATGCGCCCTTAGCTCCAACTTTGTTGTGTAGTGTTAATTTTTTTGGGCGGTTTTTATTAAGCTTTGTTCCTGTTGGAAATGAATGGGCCAACTAAGCTGGGAATGAAGCTAGTTGTATAACATTGAAGCGGGCTCAGATCTCGCCGAACGCCAAGCAACAGCTGTGATTGTGACCGGGAATGTGACTGTGAATGTGACTGTGACTGTGCCATGATCACTTTATATTCATTGACACTTAGTGTGAATTTCGTACATCATAAAGAGCGGGGCAAAGCTATGGATTTGTGGATATCTAAATTGCGGTCGCCCGGCCCAGACGCACACTCAAAGAGACACACACACAAAGCTGGCTTTTGTGCGAATGCCGACGGTTCGGTTCGATGTCGGTTCGTCTTGGTTGTGGAAAGTGGGCGAGAGAGACAAACAATCGGCCAGATGATGGCCATAAAGCCAACTCAAACATCGACAGGCCGACAGTGCGAGGTGCTAATTCACTATTAAAAGAAATCAGAAAAAACAAAACAAAATAACACACATGAAAAGCCGTAAGAGTGCTCTAGTCGGGTATGCCCGACTGGCAGATATCCTGATAAAATTGTGGAGTTGTTATTGTAAGCATTTTAGGTTTCCTCAGGACTTTTCTGTCTTCCTCTTTCGATAGACCCACATTATGGTAAATTCTATCTTAGTTAACTCGGGTCTTTGATGTTTGTTTTAGATGAAATTTCCAGGGCTTAAAGATGGTATACAAATAAGTGTATATACCCAGGCCCAAGGCTATACAACTAAAGCTTCGTTTTTTTACGATTTCTGCGACAACGGCAAGAGATATCCCGCAAGTGAAATATTCCCAATCTATATATACCATAAAAGAACCTACACAGCAAATTTGATATGTCTAGCTCTGATAGTTCTCAAGTTCAAGATCATGTGCCAAAATCGAAATTTATCGATCTAGTGTAAATAGGAGAAGTTATCGCAGGAAAGGGAATATGGGAATGAATCTACAGCCTGGCACAAAACCAGCATACCCCATTTTATGGCTAGCTTGCATAGATTTCTATAAAGAGGCTCAAGAATTGAACAGAGGCTGGGTTTGGGTTTTAGGTATTGGGCTTAGGGATTGGGGGCCTGGTGTCTCAGCTGGGCTCAATTTCATTTCCCACTCATCATCTGCAGCTCTCACGCATCATCGCAGCGGCGACTGCGCACCAATAAAACTTAATTTTGTTTGTACATCTCGGGAGGAGGGGGGGGGGGGAGAGAAGTGAGGTGAGGTAACAGCTCCATAAATGCGTTTGGGCTGGGCCTTGAGCTATTGAATTATGCATTGTTTTGTGCGCGTGTGTGTGTGTGTGTGTGTGTGTTTTGTGGGAGCAGAAGTTCTCATGAAGTGGCAGCCATTCATTCGAGTGCCAAATGCCATTGATTGAGCGCAATAAAAGCGAATCGCGTCTGGAATTAGATACGGCCGCCTAATTGATAATAATATCGCATTTATTTTGTTTGGCAATCCGAAATCTGTTAACTCTTTAAAAAGCCGACCTTTTTTTTTATGCCCCCCCCCCCGTTCTGTGTCGCAGCAGCTGTTGCTCGCTAATCCACAGCAATTCGCTTGTAATTCGCCTGTCTCCCTCCCCTCCCCTCCCCCCACTCTTTCTCTATTTTTTATGGCGCATAATTTTTCAATAAACCTGCCTCTGTTGATATTTGTGCACAACTTAATCCCCACATGATTAATTATCAACAACAACCTGCAAGCCGGGCAAGTCACACCCCTAAACAGGAATTAATCGAGTTGTTTACCCCGCCCTCAACACACACCCCGCACCACCCCTCACCCCGCACCAGCCTCAGCCCTGCCCACACTTGAGGCCAAACGTTCCGCTTGCGCTTTTTAATTTACTTGCTACTAGACCCAGGGACCCCTGAGCCAGGTCCCCAGGGTCGACTCGCTGCTCTTTTTTTATGATACCCTTTACTTATTGAATGTGCCTTTAAAGGGGTATAATGAAGACACCTCTTCGATCCCATAATAAATCTTCTTCATAAGCATTAAAAGCTCAGACAATCTCCGTCTGCCTTGTTTCGATCTATGTAGTCTATAGATGTATCACACGCAAAACTAACTAATCGATATTTATCTATTTTAAAACTTGGTCTTATAATAATGTTTCAATAGATTACTAGAGCTAGGTGTATCAAATTTGAGATTTAGACAAACGCAAGGATCTAGTTTATTTGATAATAACAAAAACTTCGACTTAATTCAGAAAAATCGATAAATATCGGTTTCAAAACTTGGACTGTTAAACATGTCCTTTAGATTGCCAGAGCTGGGCATATCAAATTTAAAATTTAGAAATTCAGAAGGATCAAGTTTTTTTTATATCAACAACAACTTTAACTCAATTCCTGAAAATCGATAAATATCGATTGGCTTCCTCTCCTTTTAAGGCATAAATCGGAGCTTAGAAGACCTTATGAAAAACAGATTCAGACCTGAAAGGATTCTGAAAGGAGAGCAGCTAACTACAGGGCAGCTGCTAGGCGAGCATACTCTACTTGTTTTGCTTTTTTGTGTGTGCGCTATCTGTTATTATCAAATCATAAAATGTTGCCACTTGGCTGCCTTGGCGCAGAGATTCCCAACTGCATCCCCCCCCGAAAAAAAAAGGAATCGAAAAGGGGTTGAGCACATTTTTTATGCGCTGTCAAAACATGTTTTGATAGAGGGAGACAACACAGATACTTTATCTATGCTTAAGGGTACGGAATGGAGTTAAACGGGATTTGCTGGTGTTGATAAGCGCAGCAATTGACACCCTTTGAGCACAATTTGAACCATTCGAAACACATGTTTCCCCTGGCCGGGCAATTAAATAGGAATTTCGATTTTTTTTTGTTTTTTTTGGGCCAGTTGTTTTGTGTCCTTGTGCTGATGATTTCTCAATTATGACAATTGGTAAAAGGCAAACAAGCACGGCAGGATGCGGCAATTAATTAGCGAGGATACACTGGATGTGCATTGACAATGACAATGGCTGCATGCAACCTGACGCGTGGCAGGGTGGCCCGAGCGGCAAATGTGGCATGCTGTCAGTGGCAAGGACACGGCGCAAGGTTGCAAAGGATGCGCTGCGTGTGACAAGCAGGAGGAGTCGCTGCGCCTCGACTCGATTCGCCTTCCCTCGTTCTCCTCTCTCTCTAATCGCATTAATAACCAATTTGGGCTTGTGCCACATGCACCCCCCGCTCGCCCTCCCCGTGCCGAAGGTCGCCGAGCGTGTGCCGCACTCTCGAGGTCAAGCAGCAGCAGCAGCAGGATTCGAGCAGCTGCTGCTCTAAGGTTTCTCCACAGGATCAACTGCGCAGGTAAAATCCCGCCCAGGTATTGAAAAGTCAACGGAATTATTTTTCGTTTAAGTTTTAGAAGATTTATTTTGATTTTCGATTTCGTTTTAATATTAACTAAAATTAACTAAAACTAAAAACTAGTTTACAATTTATGTACAACTGATAAATAGCTTCCACACACTGTGCAGATGAGGGGAAGGGGAAGGGGGAGGGGCGACGCATGAAAACACAACAATTTAACGCTAATTTGTACAATCGAGCGGGGGGAGCGCGCGGGGGGGGGGGGTGCGGTTCAGCGGTTATGGGCGTGGCCTACGCCTACGCCTCAGTCTTGTAGGGCTTGAATAGCTTGGGCTTCGGCTCCGCCAGAACTGTCGGCGGCGGCGACATATCCGACGCTGGCCGCTTGGCGCTGGGCATCATCAGCAGACCGGGCGCCGGCAGCGGGCTGCTCGTGGTGTGAATGGCGGCGCCGGCGGAGGCGGAGGGGTGCGCGCTGCGCAGCGGGCTGAGACTGCGATCGAAGACCTTGGTGTGATCGGAGCCGACGGGACTCAGCGAGAGCGTGGATGAGTGCGGCGATGAGGACGATTGCAGATCCAGCGGCGGCGTCTGGGTCTTGGGCAGCTGCAGCTGCTGGCCTCCATAGCTGGGCGGCATCGTTGCGGCGGCGGCAGCGGCGCCCAGCATGGCCGCCGGATAGCCCATCGCAGCCTGCATGGCCGGATGCGTGTGTGTGTGCGTGTGCGTGTGCGGATGCATGTGCGGAGCTGGCGGCGGTGCCGGCCGTGCGGGAATGTGATACGGCGCATAACGGTACTGGGCATACGGCGAATGGCCGGGCACGGGCATCGTGGGCATGCCAGTGGCCAGCATGGGATTGGCAGCGGCAGCGGCGGCGGCAGCAGCGGCAGCGGGTGCATATGGCGGATAGGGCATGCCCACGCTATTGGCGGCCGCTTGCAGTATGGAAGCGGCGAAAGCGGGATCCGAGTAGACGGCGGCGTATGGCCAGGCGACGGCGATGCGCTGGCGCTTGTCCTTCATGCGGCGATTCTGGAACCACACTTTGATCGTGGACTCGGGCAGATTGAGCTGGGCGGCCAGCTCGCAGCGACGCGGCCGGGACACATAGTTCTCCTTGTAGAACTCCTTCTCGAGACGCGCCAGCTGATCGCGTGTAAATGCGGTTCGATAGCGACGAACCGACGGATCAGCGGGTATCTCCGAGTTCCGACTGCCATTCAGCGAGTTGTCCGGACTGGACAGGCACTCTGCGAGGAAAAGGGGAAAAGAAGAAGAGCGGGGAGTTAGTCAAGCTGTTGTGGGGAGCAGCGCTCAGTTTGTGTGTGGCACTTACCATTTGGCGAAGGCGGCGGCGTTTGCGGTTTGCCGTATTGTGTTGAGATCAGATCGACGACCAGCGGCTTCTGGTCAACGGCGCTGCTGCTGCCGTCGTGATGATGGCTCTCCATGTTGTAGCTGCGATATCCGTGCATTTTGCTATATATATATATAATATCTCTCTCTCTCTCTCCAATTGATCAGGTCTCAGTTCTCGACTTGGCAGTGCGGCAGACTAAACGACTTAACGGTTAAACGGTGAAAACGGTCAAAACGGTTAAGCGACGATGTTGACTCTGCGATGGTTACAGCTCAAGTGTGTCGCTCTCAGCTACCCCGGCTCTCTTTTATACCAGCTCGCCTAGCAATGGCTGCCGCAGGCAAGCGCACAGCCAATGGCAGCGCTATGCGCCAGGCGCAAGCGAGACGGCGATAGTTGTGCAGTTTGGCTGCTGCTAGTGCCGTTGCCTCGCACTGCCTGACGGGCTGCAATGAACGATGGTGCTAATGTTGTGGTGCTGCCGCTGCCGCTGCTTACGGCTGCTGCTGGCTGCTGGCTGACAATTATGCGACGATGAAGGCAATTACGATGCCGGAACAATGGTACATAAAAAAAGGCAGCGAGGACGAGAGCCAAGGCAAAAGCGTGATAATGCACAGCCTGGCGGTGGTCCAAGGAAAAGGCAGCGACAGCAGCCGCTGCTAGCCATAATCAAGTTATCATGGAGCAGCAGCAGCAGCAGCGCCAGCAGCATCTCGCTCTCTCGCTCTCGCGCTCAGTGGGAGAGGCGAGTGCGATTTCATATATTCATAGCGTATGAGCGAATCTTTTGTTTCGCTTGTCCGCAAGCGGGCAGCGCCACGGGTGCGAACGAGACGTGAGTGGCCCCCTTAATAATGGGATTTTATCGGCTTCATCAGGCAAAAGAATGATATGGCATAATGCACAGACCGAGATGGAGAACGAGCGAATCCCCCTCTCCTCTGTGTTGGTGGAGGTTGCCATATCGATCGCAGAGGCAGCCGAATAATTTGCTCTTTTATGAAGTCTTAATATTATGCCGCACGTTTAACGGGCTCACACTTCCACGCAAGAGGGAGAGGGAGAGGGTCATGGAGTGGGAGCGGAAGCGGGCAGCGTCACAGCTTAAACAGTAAATGAACTTTATCTGGGCAAATAAAGCAAAAGTTTTAGACAACGCCCATACACACACACCCTAACACACACACACACACACACACAGATACACGCACACAGAGCCGCACATGCATAAACAATGAAATACTTTTGGGGGCGCAGTTGTTGAAACTTAATTTGAAAAGTTTCAGTTTAGTTGCGGCAAACATTTATTATGATGATATAATCATGTTGCCTAAAGGCGCAACTGTACCCAGAGCGCACTAACATGGGGGGCAGCACTGGCGACGGGGGGCTGGGTCTAAAGTGCTGCCAACTTGAAAGTTGTACATTTGTTTTACGTTTTTTTTGCTTGCGTAAGCTATTGAGCTGTCCGCCTGGCCGTTACCTGCGCGGGTCTAGGCTAGGACTGTGGGCTGTGGGCTGCGGCTTAGGGTTAAGCTGGCCCAGGAAAAAAGAAGGCAAAAATAACCCAATTTCAGAATCCGCTAATTATGTCATATACATGTGGCTAATCCCTGTTGCCATAATTATGCGTTTTTATGGCTTTCTAATGAAAATGCGTGTGGATCAGCGCGCCCAAAGCCGTTCGCCAAAAGTCCCTCTCTCTCTCTCACTCCCACCCTCTCTCTCTCTAATCCACTGTATAAACAAATAAACAAAATGTTGTGGCCTGTGGAAAGTCCGGTCCAAGTCGAAAAGGGAGTTAAAGTCGTTGCTGAAAGTTAAATCGAAAGTCGCAGAAAGTGAGGGTAACCCGGTCAGCGAGTCAGTAAGACAATGACAATTTCGGCCTAAATCACCTTAGCCCATTTGGGCCAAAACTAGAGCAATGACAGCACAGCATGTGTCCAAAATCCACATCCAATTCCAAGTTCGAGCGATTGTTCAAGATGCTGCAATAAAATCTAACTCGTATCCGCAGAGCGAAAGTGAAACTGAGCAAAACTAATAATGTCGCTGATGGCAAACGGATTAACGCACAGGATACAGGCTACAGGATACACAGCCCAGGACACAGTCCTAGTCAATGCCAAAACCCTTGGCAGCAACATTTCAATTTCAGTTTCTGTTTCTGTTGCTGTTTCAGCCTCAACTGCGCTCATTGTTATGCATTACTAAGTAACTCTCCCAGTTAGTTAAAATTATTGGGTTATATTGCGCGGCAATTTGCATTAACTCGCCGACTGTCGATCTACCTGCCCGGCCCTGCCCGACCTGGCCGGAGTCGCTGTCCAAGCCCAAGCCCAAGCCTTGCCCACCGACAAACCCTACCCACAACCTTGCCTATTGTGCATTCCATGCGCTTTTGTTTCGCCCTTTTGCCTGGACCAAAAGCAAATAAACGCGACACTGCGGCATCGACAGTAAATACCCTTTATGGCTGGCTGGCTGGCTGGCTGGCTCAACCAGCGACCGGGCCAGCGACATCTCTCTAACCTTTCACTTTGCGCCAGGCGAAAGTGAGCTGCATTACCTGATTCCCACTGACCCCTCCCTCACCCGATCTCATCCATAGTCCCAGCCAAGTTGAACACTTTCTGAAACCTAACTACGTGGAAGTCGCTTTTGTTGTTGTTGCTATTGCTATTGCTATTGTTGTTGTTGTTGTTGCTCTTTTGCCATTTTATTGGCATTTGTGCTGGCAAACAAAGCGCCGATCTCGCTGATTATGCTGATTATGGGAAGTACACACACACACATACACACACACACATACACACACACACATACACACACACACACAGACCATGTACATACATTCACAAGTGCATTTATATAAAATCAACATATATACTTATATTTATGTGTAATTATTTAAGAATTATCTATATTTCGTATATTATATCATGATAAAAAAAATATCATAAAAATTATCTAATAATATATATATATTTCATATTACAATAATAATTAAATATTAAATTTTTTAATATATATATATATAAACTGTACATTAACAATATTTATATATACACAAATATATTTTTAAACATTAAGTTATTCTTAAACTAAGAACATAAAAATGGAAAATGCCTGAGTAAAAAGTTATGTTACGTTTTTTTTTGTAGGAATTCTCTCTTCGAATTCTCTTACAAAAACAATATAGACTTCACTTTTTGTATGGGATGTAGCTTAAAAAAATACTGCACCGATTAGGCTATGGCTATTTGAAGCAGAATCTTTTTTTCCATTTTATTATAATTTTTTTAGTTTTCATGTTTGTTTTGGCGACCTTTCCATTTTTAAATATTTATTTAGCTGTTGCGAGGTGCGGAGTTTTATTTATCAAAAATGAAAACAATTTTGTTTGCATAAATATTTCTCTTCCGATATATTTCAGTTGCGCTGCGGCAAACGTGTTTAGGGTAATTATATTACAAAATAATATTTTTTATTTTCATTATTTTATAATATTTAATATAATATAAAACATATCCCCTTAAAAGCCTACCGAACGATAGAAAGTAGATTTTATTTAAAAATTAAGTCTAAAACCATTTAATAAGAAAATAAACAAATAAAATAAATGTAAATAAATGATGTATAAGCAGATTTCAGCTTTTAAAACTTTGTTCAAAGAGGATTCTACAACAATGTTGTCGAAGATTTTGCGAGGAATTCTGAAAATTTGCTGTTCAAAATGGGAAGAGAAGTTGCAATTTTCCCTGCGATAAGCTGATAAGCGAAAATTCTATATAAAACAGGAAGAAAGTCGTTGTTTATACTTATATAAATTTTAAAAAATTACAAATTGTTAATTTTACTTACTAAATAATTACACTAACTAACATAATATTGAAAAATTCTAATATTTGTAAAGCATTCAAAAACTGTGACTAGCAGCTGTAAAATTTGAGTTTCTGTTAAGTTTTTGGATTTTCGGTCGACTCGAACAGTTCCAAAAGATTTACGATCGTAATGTGCTGCATATAGGGCACGCCCTAATAAAAATATGTATGGGCTGCCTTAAAAACGTGGCTGGAAACTGGAAATTATGGCCACAATTAACAGGTAAGTAGAGTGGCAGAGCCGGAGGCAGAGGCAGAGGCAGAGGCGGACGCTGTATAAATGGTGCTAAGTAACCTTGTGGAAAACGATTTTCATGTTTTCCACTGTTTTTGCCGGCGGCCATAAAAATGCGTGAAGAATTAAAAAATTAGAGCACTCGCGGGCTTCGGGGAAAAAAACTAGCGCAGCCCGAAAAAATGCCACAATGAAAACAAAAAACTTTGATCTACATTCCTAATACGAGGGTCCTCGGAATACGCGACAGGACACGAGGGCCGGAATTCCGCGAAGCCCGCCGTAGAGCCCATAAAAATCTGCATATTGTATACCATAATTCTTGAACCATTTCTTTGCCGCAAACAAAAAGAAAACGGCACCAAAACGAACGTACCATAAATTTATGACAACTATATTTTCTTTTTGCCACAAACAATGCCAAAAACGGGACTAAAACGACAGACTCACCTTATTTTTTTTTTTACCTTTTCAGCGTATATAGAACTTTAAATAGAGCAGAATTAAGGGCCTTATGTCGATTGAGATATAGCTGAAGATAAAGATGGGAGAGTCTCAAGAGAGTTAAGCTTACTTTCTTGGGGTTGCTATAAAAGAAAGATTTGGATATGGCTGGCATTTTATACTAGGAATATTTATAGCTTCAGCTTAAAATGAAATATATGAACTAATGAAGAACTTATAAGAATATTCTCAAGAATTATTCATTTATTTTTTGTATATTATTTTTATGCTTTAATTTTTGTATAGCAGCTGCATTGGGATATAGCTGAAGATAAAGATGGGAGAGTCTCAAGAGAGTAGACCTTAAGCTTAATTTCTTGGGGTTGCTATAAAATACAGATTTGGATATATCTCACTATTTATAGCAGGGATATTTTCAGCTTCAGCTTAAAAAGAAATATATGAACTGATGAAGAACTTATAAGAATATTCTTTTATATGCTCAAGAATAATTCAATTATTTTTTGTATATTATTTTTGTGCTTTAATTTGGTTATAGCAGCTGCATTGGGATATAGCTGAAGATAAAGACGGGAGAGCCTCAAGAGAGTAGACCTTAAGCTTAATTTCTTGGGGTTGCTATAAAATACAGATTTGGAT